ATGGCATGGCCTTTAGGTCGGTTTTTAAAAGATTGATTATCAGTTATACTCTATTCACTCTCGTCGGTACTCTAAACAACATATTTTTCAAAACTAACATTACAACCTCTAAAATAACATCATTCCTTAAACACCAAATTACATAACAAATAACAGCAACCCAACTAAGAAATAGAATTTTCTCAATTTAGAAAATAAAAAAGCCATCTTATCTGAAATGAACTTTGAAACATTACCAAACCTCACACCTCAAGGGGAACTAAACGTCTAAACCAAATATCTCTTGCAAAAGGACAAAGTAAGACATAAAATAATGGACCATTTCGATTCCAACCTTTTGTTTGATCACAATGGAATTCCCCCTTATAGGGGAATGACCATTCTAAGCTCCTCCCTTGGGAATGGGATTCCTGGTCTAGAATTTCTAAAGAAGAGCTTATGACAAAAAAACCCCAAACCCTAGTAGTAATAGTAGTAAAGTATTAATAAAATAGAAAATTAATAATAAAATATTAATAAATTAATACAAGAATGAAAAATTTTGGTTGATTCTGATTTCAAATCAAAATGAACCAAACAACAATTATCGAAGTCCAACTCCAATTTCCATCTGAACCGAACAGGCATTGAGAATAAATGATTTTGATTTCGATTTCGGGGAATTCCAATCTCAATCTTGACCATAGACCAAACTCCTCGTCATGTAAAAAACTGAAACAAAATTCCTAAGTACGCCACAAAGAAGAGTCTATGCCTAGTTCTTTATAAGATTTAATTCTACCAATAGCAATAGCTATAGTCAACCAAATAACAAAACAAGAAAGCTTAATAAAAAGTTTACCATTCCCACTCACAATTCAAACAAATTGATTATCCAAATTCACACGAAAAATATGCATCCTTGTAATGCACCAAATGGTTATAAGAAATGTCCATCAATGGACATTCTACTATATCCTCCAAAATCATTATTTTTATGTGGAAATTCTTTCATAATGATGTATTTTGGGAATTAGGATCACGAAAAATTGAAGGAGAAGCTCTCAGGCGTATATAAAGAAACTACCTTTAAAATGTTGTTTTCCCCCACTCAATTTTATTGAGTTTTTTGTTGGGTTACAAGCAAATTTATTCCAATGATACAACAGAGCCTTGGGTGAGAAACTGCATCCAACAAAGTTGAAGAATCTCCGAAGAAACCTTTTGTGAGACAATAGCAGAGAGACAAGAGTGATTTTCAGTAAAAAGTGATAGAAAATTTATATGTGC